TTTATTACAGGCTTACCGAAAACATTGCTGATGTAGCTAATGATTAAATTCCGTCTTATTCCTTATCTCAGTCACAGTCGGTAGGTTGTATTGATTAGGAAAGGACGAATAACTGTATTCCTAGTTTATACAGGAACCAACTCCTTTGTTATCGACAATTTTAAATGTGTAGGGCCCACGTAGGGTGAGAATATGGAGCGACACAGTGAATATATCAGCTGTTGTCACTATGCTTTTCCGACTAATGAATACGATTCATTAAAGTAATGGCAAGACATGAAGATGACACGTAACGGGGAAGATTGTATCGTGTGACGCGGCAAGGCCGCTTGAACCCCCGGCTCGCTACCCCAAGTCTAGCGGTAAATCGTAATGAGAGAACTTCGCTTCACTCCAGTTTCGGGGAGCCTGCACCCTTAATTCAAAAGCATTTATTTCATGCGTTTTCGTATCTCACTACTCTTTACGTCTCTTTACTTCAGATATATAAATAATAGGCATGTGGGCCTATTAGAGCTATAAATTGATAGGCCTGGAATAATTCTAGGTCAATCACAATTACCGCGTGGTCTAAGGCATGAACTGTCTTCGCTCGCTTGAACGCTGGGGTCATGGGTTCGAATCTCATTCAAGTCATGGATGTCTATGTGTGCGTCTTTTTCTATGTTTGTGTTGTCCCTTGTGTAGGTAGCGGACTTGCGACTGCCCGATCACTCGTCCAAGGAGTCGTACCCACTGTGTAAAAATGATTACGAAACTGAAGAAGAGGCCAGGGCCCAACAAAGGGCTGTAGAGCCATTGATGAATGAATGAAGACTAATTATTGATGCATCTGTTCTATTGTGTGGGTGTGAAACTTGGTCTGTTATATTGAGAGTGTTTGAGATCAGGGTTCTAAGGAGAATGTGTGGAAGTGAAGGAGGAAAAGCAACATGAAGATGGAGACAACTACGTATTACTGGGGGTAAAGGGCGCCCGGTGCATAAGATTGTCAACCTCACCTACATCTGTGAGCCGATTGTCTACAGAATGTGGGAGCCTCGACGTCTCACAATCCTATGGACCTCCACGGCCTGTTACAGGGATAGTTTTACCCTTTTACATAAAAAGCAAACGCTTGGTATAAATTCCGTGGCATCTTCTAAAATTTTGTCAAAAGGTTTGAAGAAATACCTGGCTGTTGCCTGTTGGGTAAGGAAGCAGTTGTAACAAAGACAGTCCATGACCAACTCAGTAGCCTGATGAAGCCTTGCAGTATTTCTATTGTCTGCAGATTGTCCATCTACCACAAACGTAGCGTAATTATGACAACTTTCTTTGCGGCACATGACAAATTATTTAAGAAACTCAAAACCATTTTCAAGCTATTATAAAACTGTCTCCCTTGTGAAGCTGAGGCTGTCAGACTGCAGCAGGCATTGTGTACATAATCTTCTGAAATAAATACATTACTACATAGACAAATAAAGAAATAAACACTGAAAAATGGCACGCAATTTCTCCCAAACTCTTTTATTTTTTCTCCGCCTTCTTTCACTTCCAGCGACTGTCTGTGTTGAAAAAGATTAATTAACAGAATTAACATTTCTTTTTGTAAAATCGGCGGCAATAACCCTGAGTTTCATTCAGTGAATTAAAAACCACATTCCCCGCGTGGAATCAGTGATTTCTCCATTTCGGCGTTTCGGCCAAGTTCTAGTCGTGGGCCTACGGTGAATTCCTTTCATTTTCAAATAAAACCTTTGCAACCTTCGACAAAGTAGGTCTACATTGCGAGACTTTAACCTTGATTCTTTTTGCAGACTCCACTTCGGGTTGAAATAATTGCATGAGACAATATTTCGGACAAATTCTGACTCATCAGTCATGAATGTAAGCTATAAAATTATTCGCATATACTCATTTCGTCGATGAAATTATTTAAGAATATTGTTAAAATGTACATGAATTGAGACTCGGTAAACACATTCCCGCGGAAGTAAACGTGCGCAACAATAAGACGTCCACTGTTAGCCAAAGGGTCAATAAACACGTCTCCTTAATAATAAAGGCTGTGTTTTCTGCGTTGTCCGTGGAAAGTTATTAAAAATTGTTGGAAGAAGTCGAAAGAGTTCAGTTGAAGAAGAGTTCATTTGAGTGTCTTGTTGAGAATTGGGTAGAGTTCTGGAGATGGCAGTGGAAGTTGATAGAGAAGAAATGTCAAGAAATGAATTAGATGCGTGACTTGAAGCTACAGTGAGACTGTTATATATCCGTTGCCAGGATACGACTAGTGAAGACTGAGAACGCTATTGTGTGTGCAACGGTGAACTGGAAAGTGTGTAGATCAGCCATCGCGTTGTATTGCCTGTAGTCACGAGATGTGTAAATAAGGTGCAACAAATCCAATCATTCAATCCAAACCCCGTCGTATAAGTCACTCCTACACGTGACAGTATTATGCAGATACCAGAACAGTGGTTTTATATAATTATGTTACGTGAGGACGTTTGACGGCTGTGCACATGCATGGGTTCCCGCTATTCGCGCCTCCTGTTGCCGCCTTTCCATCTCTGTCAGTTGTCATGAAGGTTAAGCCAACTCGTACTCGTCATTAATAAAACGCCAAGTGTCACAATGCTCGTCGCACTAGGGCGAACTAGATACCATATCTAAAGTAATGAATTGCAACTTTTTATATGATAGGCCTATGTATATTTTCTGCACTGCCTTGTCTGTTGTGTCCATGAAAACAAAAGCTGGTCACAGTAGCCACGCGGACTAATGCATGAACTGTCTTCGCTCGCTCGGGATCGTGGGTTCGAATCCCATTCGAGGCATGCATGTCTCTGTGCATTTATTCTGTGTTTGTGTTGTCCTGTGTGTAGGTAGAGGCCTTGTGACTAACTGATCACTCGCCCAAGGAGTCCTACCATCTGTGAAAAATGATTATGGAACTGAATAAGAGGCCAGGGCCCTGAATGGGCTGGAAGAGCAACTGTAAGGAAAAAAACGGAATAAATAATATACCTAATAGCTGAAAATTTTCAGTAATATAAGAACAAATGGCGTGTTAATAGGCAGGACCCAAAGATGTGTACAACAAGTCTCAACATAAAGGACTTCGAACTACGTACATCGACGCTTGTCTTAGGCGTTCGTTTTGCAATATTTCACGAGCCTTGCGCAAGAATATTAAAATGGACTGCAAGGACCACATCACAGTCATTGAAACTATGACCGTACGAAAGAATAGATGCACGTTCGTTGCAGCAAAGTGACGATTAGGTTCTGTACTTGGTATCGTCCATCACTTTACACGCAAAACTGATTCCAATTTATTTTCTTTCAGGAAAGTCTTTATTTTATTTTATTTTGACAGAAACAAAACGACACGTACCGGAGTACGAAGAATTCATATCTTATAGACCTTTGTACACAAAGTAACAGTGACGTGTTTAGTATAATTCAGTGCGAAGAGGATTTGAGCCCTGTGGTTCCTTCATATGAGACATAGGCATATGTATGTATGTTACGTATTTAACGCATTGCAAGGGGAGCAGTAACCTCCAGCCCGTGATGTTATTGCCGCAGTGGACTGAGTAGGGAAGCCACAACCAAGAAATGAGCACACAGGGATTAGTTCGCACCCCGGCACAGTAGAAAAATATCCTGCCTGTATTACAAAACGGCTTATCAGTACAGAATAAACTGTTTCAAAATCTCTGTGGCAATATTATTCGGGAAAATTTATGCACATATTGGCCAACATCAATTTCAGAATGCTGGTATTAAATGACACGGAGCCGGGATGGTGCAGCCTGTAGAGCGGCTGGCTACGGGCTGGACGACCTAGGGGTTGGAGTCCGAGTCCCAGTAGGGTCAAAAATTTTCTCTTCTACACTTCGTCCAGACTGGCTGTGGGTTCCACCAAGTCTCCTATCCAATGGGTACCGAGGGCTTTTTCCCCGGGGGTAAAGCAGCCAAGGCGTGGAGCTGACTACTCCCCTCAAACTGGTGTCTAGGTCAAGAAAATGTGGATCAATATTTCCACTCTTTCATACTCCTTCATGACTTAGTGCTTACTTGGTTAAGCACAAGAACAACTTTACGTTACATAAGACCTACAGCATCGTGCTAAGCGCTATGAGAAAATATTTCTGAATTCTGCCTAAGCTCAGCTCAATCTTTGAAAAAGAAATGATTACATTTTATCCTGAGGTCTCTGATATAATAGGGTACCTTGAAGACGACACTGGTAACGGTTTAAATTTGGGTTGTAGGAGGTAAGCTTCACGCTCCAGCTGATTTACCCACTCACTGCTGGGCCTGAAATCCACCGCCCCTAAGAGAATGTGAGACCATTTTCCCATTTTACCGATAGATTTACGGGAAGTAGTGTTCCATTATCATTTCAATGGTTATGGTCCCTAGTGGTCTGCGGTCCGGCCCTGTCGCGTGTCTTGCCGCGGGTCTCGTCGCTGAGGCGAGCATGAAATCCCCACCTCTGCCACTAGAGACCACCACCGGTGCTCTGGATGCTGTGCTGCTACAGAGCAGTGGAGAAACCCCCTCATCTGTGCGCGTCCTGCGCTCGCCATGCCACCTCAACCTGACCCCTCTGCCACCCGAACATATCCATCCCCTCTTCTCATGAGAAAACAGATGATAATGCTATGACACCGTGGGGCTGTCCACGCCATGACGTCACTCAACATTCATTGGTCGAAGTGAATCGTGTCACTCCCTTGTGATTGGTGGTGACACCTTCTGGGGGCGTGGCTCAGCCTACCGCGATCCTCCTGTGCCAACCTTTTCGAAGTACCCTCCACCCACCGTCTTCATTTTGGGCGCCAGGGTACCATAGACGAGCCACATTTCTAGTGGCCCAGTACCAGTGAGTCTCTCTCCCTTGGAGCTTTACGTGTCTCCGGGGGGAGTGGCACGCCACGCAAGGGGGTGGAGGAAGAGGGTAGTGGCTACCCTCAGGGAGAAACTCTCGCGTCTGAATAGGAACAATATTTGTGAGCAACAAATCCACCACCACTACCAGCCCACCAACCCTGCGCCCTCTCTTTTCCCCTCCATAGTTCCACCCTCGTGAGGTTGACAAAACCATCAAATTGTCTGGTCGTAGTCACAAGCACTCGATGGTTATCTTCTGGCACAGGGAGAGCCCGACTGTTCAGTGTTGTCCAGCACGACGGACCACGCGAAACGGAGCCTTGTGACCACTTCCGCGTGCTGACTGTTCCCGAGTGCTTCAGTGATAGTAGCTGGTTCCTCAGGCATCCTGCGGTGTACAGGAGTGATGGTAAGCCTGTGATTCTGGTACAAGGACAGACATTTCGTGAAGCGTAGTTTCATATCTATCGAGTGAAGTGCAGAGGACTCATGCCTGGACACAGTACAGACACAGCTCCATGTTTGGTGTAAGGGCCTACATACAGTAGTTTTCTTGCGCAACATAAGCTCGCACACGCTGTAAAACAAAAGCCCGCAAGACGCGGTCCGAGGACTTCACGTGCGGAGATCGCGGATACGTGGGGGCCACGGCGTCCCCGTGGCCAGCGCTGTCGTTGCCGGCCACAGCGGCGGCAGCGGCGGCGGCAGCCCCGCCCCCCGTGGAGTTGGATCCTGTCGCAGCCGCGTGGGGACGCAAGCTGTATCCACCACCGGGTCCCACACGTGGGGTCGGACCCGGCGGTCTCATGTTCGGCCTTCACCACCACCAGGACGCAGCCACAGCGGCGGGACTTCACCACCACCACCACCACCACCACCAACCGCGAGGTCCTGTCACCAGCCTCAAAGAGGAACCGCTCTCTACGTCCCAACTGGCGGCTGCCAGGTCATGGATGCAGCCCGCAGTCGTCGATCAGAGCAGGTCAGCAAAGTTCTATATTGCTGTGGTTAATCAAAGGTTTATAGGTCTACTTTCTCTACGATAAGGCTTAGGCTTAAGGCTATCAGCTTACTTCGATTTTCCGGGCAGAAGCTGATAGCTGTATACAGAACGTAAATACAGATATCACTGTCTTCTGTGCACTTAGCCCCTATGTCGAACACTTAAGTTCCTCGTCTGGGTTCTAGGCTATATTTAAGTAAATAGAATGAAGACCTCAAGCCTTTAAGCAGTCTTAACATATCGCTGTCAACAATGTAATGCGGGAACAAGGGCATTAGGAGCAATAGGCCCACTCTAGAGCTTGTGAGAACCTTATGTATTTACTCAAATACTACAGAGCGTAGAATTTTCCGTCTACTTGCTTCGTTAAGCTCAATCTGCTTAAACGTGGTCAGAATAAATTTCCGATGGCTGTTCCTATCCTAGCAACTTTCAATAACCACTTGGGCCTGAGGCTATGTTTATGTCTACAGTAGGAATGGATGCATCTCAAAAACTTGATTTCTATAGATGTTAAGAAAAAATTAAAAGAAGTTTATTAGCTTACATAGGATCAGAAATCATTATATAGTCCATATGCTAGTGAAAATACGATGGTCATTATTATAACGTTCTCCATAACAATAATTTGTTGGAATGAAACTTTTCCGACCTGTAGCATTTCAGACGCGGGCGGAACCTGTCATGGCAACCCTAAAGCTTTCTCGCAAATGCGAATACATTACATATATGGATGATTATTATTTGATATGCAATGCTGGGTAGTGCGGTATAAGGGCGCGAAACATTTCTGAGGAAGCTCCCGTCTCCATCTTGAGGGTAATTTCCCTGAAGATGTGGGAAGCGACTTACTCCAAATAGTAGCTAAGTCTCTACCAGACTACATGGAGTCATATTGAAGAACACAGTAATATTCCTATTCAATTCCAAGAGAACTTCAAATTTCACGCATCAGTTATAAAAATTTATGTAGTTCCATGAACTAATACGCTTGTTACGGTTGTTTAAGTCTTTCAAAATTGAACCGAAATTAAGCATGCGAGCTAGCAAACAGCAATTCAGGAGAAGCAACCTGCTATGTTTTCCAGCATCTAAAAGGAATCCTCACACACAACACTTAAAGTAAAAACAATGTCAACGTTCTCGCCAATCAATGGACTTGTTTCTAGGAGCCTATGGAATATCAGTAAAATAAAGACATTCGCATAGGCCTATAATGTGCAGCGTTTCTCACTCGGATTGGAACCTCGAATAATCATTTACGTCTCCTTACAAAAAAAAAAAAAGGATACAAATACACAGCCTATTGAACATCCAACAAGTTAACCCCAACATTCGATTCTACTAAGACACAGGCCTACTGTGTGTGTCTACACGATATAATTTCGGAACTATAAGTTATTTACGGAAAGGCAACTGAGGAAATCCGTGTTCTACTTCATTAATCCCAATTTCACACGTTCCTCCTATACATAAGTTCGGTTTCATCGGCCTACATAGATTACATTAAGCGGAAATTTGCCTGTTGAATGTCGAATAGGAGTTCCCAAAGTCAAATGGTGGTTCTTCGTTTATGGCTTCAAATTAGGCTGTTTTATATTTTTGTATAATCTTTGCAATATGCAGTTTCCCAAAAATTATTCTAGTTTTTATACTGAGCTAGACGTCTTCCGTTTAACAGGCCTACGACTCAGATTTACGTTTCTAGGCCTATAATATAATCCCTTCATACCCTCAGAAGTTCTATATTAGTAAAAATAAACGCTAAATATAACATTTTTACTCATATATAGAAATAATTTTCTATACAACATTGGTAAAAATGATTTCAATACAAAAATATAACGTCCGTTTATATCCATAAAGATTATTAAAATTTTAAAACCCCCAAAAAGGATGGTAGGATGTTGAGTGGATTAACCTGGCTCAAGATGGGCTCTAATGAGAGCCCTTAACAGAACTGAGCACAAGAAATCTTCCCGGGGGTAAAGGGCAGCCGGCGCGTAAAGGGGCCCATACATGTACGAGTCTGGTTCGCGAGTCCGGCTCGGCGAGCTTGATTCGGGAGCCGGGCTCAGATTAATTTCACCACAAACGCATGACCTGACTTCCAACATTGCGACCCACACACGGACGAGTTTGGCTCATTGGAACCCGAGCTGAGTCGGACTCGTACGTGTATGGGCCCCTTAAGATTAATAACCTCACCGTCATCTGTGATCTGATTGTCTAGAAAATGTGGGCGCCTCGACGTCTCAACCCTATGGGCCTCCCCTGCCTGTTACAGGGATAGCTTTGACCTTTTTACAACTGTAGATTTTCAAGGACTGTGTCGCACAGGATTAGGTCGCAGTTAATTCTTACTACGCGTAGAGTAAATAGTGATGTTTGGTAACCTACGTAAACCTGTGTCTAGATAGAACTATATCAGAGGAGAGTAAGCTACAGCAGCATGTACCCTTATCAGCTATAAGATAACAGCGCCTCTGAGCCTTGTCAATCTTTCTTGCTCTTCATTTGCTACCAAATTTAATCTTACATAGCCCTCACTGCAGTACAAATATTGCTAGAAGCATACATACATAGGTCGCAGGTCGTAGATCAAGGCAGTTCGTAATTTGAACAGTAGTACAAATTCTGTTCCATTGTTAATGAAATCCTCTCTGCAGTAGAAGTAAGGTTTTACATATTGTTGATTAATTAAATTAAACATCGGATTACCGATCGAAGTGCTAAGTGAATGGAAGGTAAAGGCGGCAAGGCTCCAGTTCTTCATTTTGTGTTGAATGAAGGAATCTTGTTCATCAGTTCAATATGTGTCATTTAAACTTCCAGTCTAATAATTACTATTTCAAAAGTAATTTTCTTTTATAAACATGAGCAGCAACGTTCCTGGCGCTTCTAATCATAAGTTTGTTTTAAAATAGTAACATTAACAACATTGAGAAGGTAAAGCTATCCCTGTAAGAGGCCGTGGAGGTCCATAGGGTTGTGAGACGTCAAGGCGCCCACAATTTCTAGACGATCAAATCACAGATGACGGTGAGGTTGTCAGCCTTAAGGGCCGACCGCCCTTTACTACCAGGAAGAAACCTGGTACTCATTTCCGTCAGAGGCTGAGTCGATCCCAGGGCCATAGTGCGGCTGGAAGGATTACGTCAACTTAAAGAATCCAATGACCTCATCGGGACTTGAACCCGCGACCTTCCGGCTTGTAGCATAGTGCCTCAATCAACTACGCTATCGCGTGCCCCCTGCACTATATTTATCATCATTCTATTCTATCGGCATTTAATTATTTATGAAGACATGTAGTTAAATTTATGCGGACCCTTATATTCAGTGGCCAAAATCCACTCCAAACACCCCATGAAAACTGTTTGAATGTCAACATTTACTTCTCGTCCTTATATCTCAGCCCCTTTACCTAGACTTCACAATTTGACAAACACGTGGAGACGGTAGAAATCCTGTTTCGTATTTGATATGTCCAGAATTCAAATCTCGGCCCTGAAACAGACTGTCCTTTCCGGGAAAATTCTGGGATAGTAGGTCTACCTGGAATTAGACCTTGATAACTACATGCACACAATTTCAAATTCATTATTCAATGTTCATGGTATCGCTGGACGCCGCGTAACCTCAGCTCTTGGTAGCATCGTTAAATAAATTGCAAATACAGTTAAATACACTGACAAGTATATACAGGCATAGCAAAAGTCGTTAACTACAGACCTGCACCTTTATCCAGCCATCAATAAAGCTCGAGTTGTATCCGGAGTTAGAAAGAAATGACGTGTAGTTGTGATGAATTCCAAACGTAGGTCTTTCCTGAGGGCACTACAGATCCATTGAGCGTAAAATAAAAATTAGAAAAACACTTTGGAAGGGGGGGGGGAGTTTAAGGGATGAGAATGTCCTCTAAGTACGAGTACAGAAAGACTGCATAAAATGGCTGTTACATGAAATTCATACCAGTAGTCATTACTGCTTGAAAAAAGGAGATAATTATGTTCAATATACTGAGAGGAAAATAAAAACCACAAAGAACACAGAAGCTGTACTAGACGCGAGTGAATAGCTCGGTCCACAAGAAAACACAGAGAACACTGAATATTTATATCTCGTCACCAGGAATCAAGGTAACATATAACATAGTTATGAATCCTTAAAAAATGCTACGAATTAGGGTTTTTGGAAATTACGCTAATAAATGAAAATTGACCCACAAAGAAAATACATTCATCTTCTCGCCTGCTGTTTATAAATATAAAGATTAAAATATATAAAACTATGACTGTACTTGTTATTTTGTATAGCTCTGAAACTTGGTATCTCATATTAATATAAGGACGCAAGTTGAAAATGTCACAATGGGAAAATCCGAAGGAAAGAGCCCACTTGGAGGAACTAAGCATAACTCTGAAATAAATAGTGTGTAAAGATGTGAACTTGATTGATTTGCATGAGAAGTGGGACCAGCGGCAGCTCTTGTGAACACGGTATTTCAGGAGATGGGGGGGGGGGCATTTCTTGATTATCTGAGCGGCTATTAGCTTCACAAAATGACCTCTGCTCCATGGAGTTTGTTAGCTGCTTAGGTTAATAACATATTTAAGATTAAAATGTATTACCGCTCAAAGGTTGCTTTGAGATATCAGTGAACTTCCGTTTATTTTATGTATTCGCAAAACCAACTACAATGACGACTTTCTTGCTATATAAAGGAATACACACAAAAACTCTGTGGCCTGTAGTCCGCAAGCAAACTATACCGACCGAGCGACGGCCGCTTGTCAGCGAAGTCAGTGCCAATTTTTGAGGATAGAGGATGTGGCGTGGTCGGCGCAACGGATCCCCACGGCCGTTAATCTCGGTTTTCTAGACCGGTCTATAAAGGAATCTCTTATTTAAATGGAATTCTCTTAAAAATCCCGTTCCTCTGAACTTTACTGATAGGGACCGTGTATAATCGAGGC